CGTGGATAAGCGAATTCGCCATTCCACCGAACTGCCCGAACGAGATGGATTCTTACAATACGAACAACGAAAAAAAAAATCCATAAATTTTGAGCACATGGGAAACGGGATGTGCCAAAAAAAGCGGGCAAGCATAAACGTCGCTTTGTCAAGCAGTTGTTGTCTATTATAATACAAATATGTAATATGGTTGCATTCAACTCAAAGAAACTTATTTTTTCCCTTCAAGAATATTAGTTTTTTATCGGTTTTTTTACAAATATGTATCCTTTCATTTCATTTTGTTTTTTTCGTCTCCCGTTACTCTCTTCATTCTTTACCCCATTTTTGGAAATACCTGCTGATGGTATGTACAAGAAATTAAATTTTCAATGAAAAAAATCCTGTAAATCTTTGCATAGTTTTTCATATATACAATGTGACCCACTTCTAATGAAAATACCCTTGTATCTTACGTAATCGCTGGGTGAGGATCCTGAAATTTACTGGAGCGAAAGATATACCAAATATGCACTTTACGATCAAGTGGGATCATCTTCAGTGATATACACTGGTTGCCAACAGCCATATGGAACCACCCCAATTTCCGGATAATGATATAAGGAGTCAAAATAGGTTGAAAATCACTTCGGATTCGGAATCAGGACGTCCAATTCACTAAATATTCATAGTTTTCCTAGAAAATGTTCAGTTCAGAAAATTTGAATTTTGTCTCATTTCTCATGGAAGCAACCCCGTATCTCACGTAATTATTGAGGTAGGGTTCTGAAATTTGCAGGAGGAAGGGAAAGTCCAGCGATAAAGTCAATTATACGTAAGATACGGGGGTGCGTCCGTGAAAATTGCGACAAAATTCAATTTTTCAGAACTGAAAAATCTCCAAGAAAAATATGAGTTAGTGAATTGGGCGTCCTGATTCCGAATCTGAATTGATTTTTGACCTATCTTGACTCCAAATATAATTTTCCGGAAATTTTCGTGGTTCTATGGCTGTTGGCGAGCAGTGTATATCACTGAAGATTACCCCACTTGGTCGTAGAGTGCATTTTTGGTATATCTCTCGCTCCAGCAAATTTTAGGATCCTCACCCAACGATTACGTAATATACAGGGGTGTTTCCATTAGAAGTGGGTCACACTGTATAGGTAATAATATTGAGGGTTTTTGCCTAAATTCTCTAGCTGCATTTTATTTTACTGTAAAGGATTTTTATGATCATATTCATCTACCCGGGGAGAACACTGATACTTTGAAGCAACATCATCGTGAGCGCTATACCAAAATACTACTAGTAAATATAATTTTGAATGTTTTCATTTATACTAGGAATGTGAAAAATATAAAACAAATATGTTCATTTCAAAACACACACTTCCTGCGTCATTTGGAATGGTGTCAATTCATTGGTGTGAATGGTGTGACGCACTAGTCCCAACACGCCTATTGTCCTTGCTGACCAATCACACTGCAATACTGCAGAATGGCAAAGTATCAGAGAGAGATAGCTACAGTTCGGGACTAATACGTCACGGCTCCACCTCTACATCTGGTGCTTTGGAATATCGAATGGAATATGCTGATTTCAAAACGCTATATACACTGTAGAAAATTCATTTGAGAGTGACTGCATTATGTGGTGGTGAGTGAATTTACTGATTGAAATTTCTTAGTGAATTCTCAACTCAAGCTAGATATTTCATAAAGTTTGCCTATCAATGAGAATGTTTACAAGAAATTTGATTGAATTGGCTCATGAATTGCCATGTTACACAGTCAAGTAGGGTGATATTTCAACCAATTGGCAGATAATTATTGCGTGCACCTTGAGTGAAATTCCACAAAACAAAAATTTCCAGTGTGGATTTGATTCCCTTCAACTTCAACTCGTAAGATACATGAGGTACATTAAATGTAAATCATGATTCACTGATTGAAACATGTTTGGACGGATTTCATCCCTCAGTGATCTTCCCCATTCGTTAGTTTCGTGATCGTGCGACTGAATTTCCCATTCTTGCGGCATTTTCTGGATAAATTGGGAAATTTCCCATGACGATATGGGTTCAATAAAAAGGTATAGATGGAGGAGACTAAGACGAAATCCCATCGGCATATTGAGCATTCGACGTCACAGCATCATTCTCATCTCGCCTCAGCTGACCTTATCAATTCAATTATTCGTCGCGTAAATTGAGACGCGATAGAATTCGATTCCAGTAGCCTGATTGTATAGAAATATTAGTCAATGATACTTTTTGTCACTTATTATTTCCAATTCCAGTCTCAGCAGTATTGAGAAAATATCTATTCGAAATCAAGAATACTGGTATTTTCTTCAAAATATGGTCCCCATTTGAACTTTTTCTGGACAGTAAACTTTTTTAGATGCGTAATATACCCGACCTCCGTAATATCTTGATGGTTAACAATTAACAAGATGGTAAAATTGAAAAATTCCATTAATTATTTTGTTGAAATGATGGTAATTAGAGTGCGTTACATGTGCTAACGGAATAAAATGTTCAGGCTATAACGTTTTTATGTTAAATAAATCATAAATCATCATGGAATTGAATTCCAGTGAATCAAAAGTTAAGATGGGGACATGTAAGCCGTTTTGATCGATAATGAATAGTTTCGACAAAAAAATCCTAAAATTGAAAAATCTCGATTTTGTACACCCTATATCTCTGTAATCATTCCTGCTAGACCCCAAGTGTGATACATTGATGAAATCAGCTCTACAGGAAGAATCTAAAAATGCAATAAAATACAGGGTGTTTCATTCGAAATAACAAAGTTGCTAGTTGTTTCTGATAGAAGTGGCAACGCTGTATCGATGAAAATATTTTAGACGGATAGAGAATGTTCAATTATCAAAGCATCCCAATTTTCAGAATGTTCTGTCTTTTCGTTCTCCAGATACTTACTTCTAATAGGCCATAAACGGTGGATCACCCTGTATTTATGTATGTTTCAACTTGATGAATCCAACCGATTCCTCAAAATTAATTGAATATAATATTTCATTGATTTGATATTCAATTCATTGATGATCAAATAATCAGAATGTTGAAGATGAAATGTGTGAATAATGTAAATATCGCTTTATCGAGGTTGCCACTATATCTATCTACAGGGTGAGTCAGAAGAAGTCTGACAAACTTCGTATACGGATTCTTTACCTCCTTATCAACATACCTATGTCCGAAAATGCTTGTTTTGTGAAATAAAATCGAAGTGTATATTAATTTCTTCGGAACCCCTGGAGGAGGAAAATAGAAACTTGATTTATACTACTCCAGATTATTCAGTGTAGTCAAATGCAGTTTCCATTATCGAATTTTGATTACCAGTGGCGTAGCTACTTTACCTAAAAATAATAAACATTTCCGAGAACATTTCACATGCCCAAATGTAGTGGTCCTCAAATATTTGCGAGAAATATTTTGAGATAATATTGCTACGTGTTGAAGAAAAAATTGTTATGCTCAATTTTGTTTACATATTCAACAAATAGTATATCAAACAGGTCGCATTATGAGAAAGAACTCACAATATAAACTGTTGACCTTGAGAAAATCTGTAGAATAAAACGAGAGTTTGTCGACCTATACTTCTGACTCACCCGTAATATATTTCCAATGTTGGAGGGGGTTGAGAAATTCTCTGATATCTCTCTCTATACTCAATAATTACCTCAAAACATACCCTTAGTTTTTCGCAAATATCTCAGGAACCTCTACATTTAGGTATGTGAAATGTAATTACCTTTAGGTGAACTATCAATAAGTCGAACTGATGTCATATATAGATCTAGCAATTTGAAATTACATTTAAGGAAAATATGTCGACATACAATAACTACACCACTGAAAATGAAAATTCAAAAATGGAAACTCCATTTGAGCATATACAGGGTGACATAGAGAAAAGTACATTGCATAGTGTCACACAATAGAGGACACTAAACTAAGGAAAAAAAGTTCCTATGAACATGGGTTCGCATGGTTGAAAGATACGGGGTATTGAATTTCAATTGAAAAATGTATTGAAGTACAAGGGCAACAATTTGTACATCTTCTTAAAACTTAATATTTTGTTCTAATTAATCATATTTTTCATCATACCATTAAAATGTAATTGTTGAAGTAGGTATTTATCATTGTTTTTGCAAAAGTTACTCTGGCGCTTTTTGAATAATTTGCGTGCATTGTCGGCTTTTAGATGCTTTTGTACTGGAACCTTTGCTTTTGGCGACTTGGACAAAGTATACCTTTCTTAAGTATAAAAGAAGGGAAAACAACTTTTTTCTGTATCACAAAACTATAAGATTATATTAGAATTTAGCATGATAAATAACCCCTGTATACCACATTTTTTCCATTTCTTGCGTCTCTGGCTGAAGATATTCAAAGAAAACCCCAGAAAAAAATTTAAATTCAACACCCCGTATCTTTCAACCGAAGGACTTGCGGACCCATGTTCGTAGGAACTTTTTTCTCATTTGTTTGTGGCACCATGCAATGTACTTTTTTCTATGTCACCCTGTATACATTGATCAATCTGGAATAGTAATATATCGAGTTTCAATTTTTCTTCCTCCAGGGGTTCCAAAGGTTCGCCTCGCCCTGTATAGTTTGTTTTGTTATGAATGAATTGATCTCAAATAAAAATGCTAATTTCTGACTCACCAGATATAGTGGAAACCTTGAGTGTTTTACGCGAGGTATTTATTATGGTCTGAAAAAAGAAGGTTCTAAATATTTGAAACCGTCTTGAGTTTTTCGGAAAACGATTAAATTCATCGATATCGAAAAAGAAATTCTTGTTACAAAAATATTTGGGGCATCCTAAAATTTTGCACTCAGATTTCGACCTTGAACTAGATTTCCATCATTTATTTTGTGTTATAGGAGTATGCCAATGACACTGAAATAAGAATGACGATGTGAAGCTTTATGAATAATATTTTTCTAATTGCTTGTATTTATTTTCAGATTTCAACAACATAATCCATAGGTGAGTTTGATTTTGTTCTCGGGAGCTGTTCGTTTTGGAAATTAATTTGATCAGTCTCATTATTTTTAGAAAACTCATTATTTTGAGTACTTACATTTTTGTGGAGTGCGTATGAGTGATTTGAATAAAAAAAATCAAAATAGTAAATTAGGTAGGATGATAGATTAGTTCAGGATATACAGGGTCAATTATATAATAGAAATAATAATAATACGTCTTTATTCACCAAAGTACATAATATATGACTGCAGACGCAAATTTCTAAAGGAACATAAATGTAGATTAGTTCAAAAAGATTTATCGAGACCTTGTATGTAGGTATATTTAGTGTGTTCTGCTATCCATTAATACACCCTAATATATATCAATAATGCCATTTTCTTCAATTTTCGGTGCTGTTTTATCTTAGAAAAATGAACTGTGAAATAGTTTGCACATACAGGGTGTCCCAAAATTAGCCTGCCAAACTTCACCAGCGGCTTCTACGATCAAAAATAGGAAGGAAAGTTTCAATTCACTATGCCAAATATTTAATTTTCCTAAGATTCAATCACCAGCAAAATTTTATGCGAATCGCATTAAATAACAGGTATAGTTGAGGGTATTCGTGAAAAACGGGACACACTGTATGGACATCCTCGATTACGATCATTTTCTGTTATGATTTGTGCGTTACTTTCGACCTGAATCTTCCTTCCATCCGTGATGCTAACTCTTCAAGACTTGGAAATAATGAATCAGAAAACTTTCACAATAATCCGAAATTTATGCGCGAGAGCTACACACCGAAGATAACGAAGTGGCAAGGAGTTTCCCGTGTTCCCTAGAAAAAAAGTAAGTTTGAAGTGTAATTTCCACTCTTTTTTTTATTATTACGCTCCTCCGAACATATCACCGGGTACATATTTCACAATAATGCGGTAGCAGGAGAGGAAAACTTTTTCATTCCGATAGGGTTTTCTCGTTTTTCCTTTTAAAAGTTTCTGCGAGTGTCGAGGTATAGTCCATCGGAATATGGGGAAGTGAGGAAAAACGATCTAATATATATTTCGCCGAACGGAGAAATTGAAGAAATATTTTATGTTTTTCTATAACAACCCTGAGAATTCACACTTATTTGAAGTGTCTACAGCACCATTCTATAGAATCCAAAATGACAGATACCCAAACGTAAACAATGAATGTTGAATAAATATACAAAAAGCTTAGTCATATTCACACAATGTTCATAAAATGAACAACAATGGTAAATTTCGGGAAAAAAACAACTACTTTCCTTGCTAATGCCACGCAGAACACCGAATTACATTCTTCCGAAATCTATGCAATCGACTCGAATAAACGAATACTGATTCAAGTTAATCTTTCCTGAATGCCTTTTGATTTCGATTTAGCCTGGCCACGCTAGACACCTACAGACCGGTTTCGAGCTCTTTGACTCTCATCAGTGCAGGGCAGTCTCCAGCCAGCAGTCCTAAGAGCGCCTACTAAGCGTAGCCTAGCCAAACAAAAATCAAGTCGTCATTATATTCTTCCAGAGGCGTCCTTCATAGAAACTATGAAAGCAACGTCATCTGAGTAGAAACGATGGAAAGAAACACTCCAAAACTGAAATTCCCAAACGGGAGTGACTGGTTGCCCGACTGGCGTAGTTTCAACTACGAAATAGCGACAATGCTCATAAAATAAAATGGTAGATTTCGGCCTCAATAGGCAAATTCTTTCTTTATGGGTCTGAATCAGTGTCTATGAATTTTTTGGGATTCTTAGGGCAATCAGGAAAACATTTTTTTTCCACCCATATGAGCCTACTGCATTGCTTGAAGCGCTGATTTTGAAAATCTAAAGGAAAAATTATCCATCAAATCTGACATCAAATTCTTTCTTTATGGGTCTGAATCAGTGTCCATGAATTTTTTGGGATTTTTAGGGCAATCAGGAAAAAAATATTTTTCCACCCATATGAGCCTACTACATTGCTTGAACCGCTGATTTTGAAAATCTAAAGCAAGAGTTATCCATCAACTCTGACATCAAATTCTTTCTTTATGGGTCTGAATTAGTGTTTATGAATTTTTTGGGATTTTTAGAGCAATCAGGAAAAACATATTTTTCCACCTATACGAGCCTACTGCATTGCTTGAACCGCTGATTTTGAAAATCTAAAGGAAGAGTTATCCATCAAATCTGACATCAAATTCTTTCTAAATGGGTCTGAATTAGTGTCTATGAATTTTTTGGGAGTTTTAGGGCAATCAGGAAAATATATTTTTGCACCTATACGAGCCTACTGCATTGCTTGAACCGCTGATTTTGAAAATCTAAAGGAAGAGGTATCCATCAAATCTGACAACAAATTCTTTCTTCATGGGTGTGAATTAGTGTCTATGAATATTTTGGGATTTTTAGGGCAATCAAGAAAAAATTATTTTTCCACTTGTACGAGCCTACTGCATCGCTTGAACCGCTGATTTTGAAAATCTAAAGGAAGAGTTATCCATCAAATCTGACAACAAATTCTTTATTCATGGGTGTGAATTAGTGTCTATGAATTTTTTGGGATTTTTAGGGCAATCAAGAAAAAAATATTTTTCCACTTATACGAGCCTACTGCATCGCTTGAACCGCTGATTTTGAAAATCTAAAGGAAGAGTTATCCATCAACTCTGACATCAAATTCTTTCTTTATGGGTCTGAATTAGTATCTATGAATTTTTTGGGATTTTTAGGGCAATCAGGAAAAAAATCTGTTTCCACCTATATATGAGCCTACTGCATTGCTTGAAGCGCTGATTTTGAAAATCTAAAGGAAGAGTTATCCATCGAATCTGACATCAAATTCTTTCTTTATGGGTCTGAATTAGTATCTATGAATTTTTTGGGATTTTTAGGGCAATCAGGAAAAAAATCTGTTTCCACCTATATATGAGCCTACTGCATTGCTTGAAGCGCTGATTTTGAAAATCTAAAGGAAGAGTTATCCATCGAATCTGACATCAAATTCTTTCTTTATGGGTCTGAATTAGTGTCTATGAATTTTTTAGAAGTTTTAGGGCAATCAGGAAAAAAATATTTTTCCACCTATACGAGGCTACTGCATTGCTTGAACCGCTGATTTTGAAAATATAAAGGAAGAGTTATCCATCAAATCTGACATCAAATTCTTTCTTTATGGGTGTCTGAATCAGTGTATATGAATTTTTTGGGATTTTTAGGGCAATCAGGAAAAAAATATTTTTCCACCTATACGAGCCTACTGCATTGCTTGAACCGCTGATTTTGAAAATCTAGAGCAAGAGTTATTCATCAAATCTGACAAAAAATTCTCTCTTTATGGGTCTGAATTAGTGTCTTTGAATTTTTTGGAATTTTTAGGGCATTCAGGAAAAAAATATTTTTTCACCTATACGAGCCTACTGCATTGCTTGAACCGCTGATTTTGAAAATTTAAAGGAAGAGTTATCCATCAAATCTGACATCAAATTCTTTCTTCATGGGTCTGAATTAGTGTCTATGAATTTTTTGGGATTTTTAGGGCAATCAGGACAAACATATTTTTCCACCTATACGAGCCTACTGCATCGCTGGAACCGCTGATTTTGAAAATCTTAAGGAAGAGTTATCCATCAACTCTGACATCAAATTCTTTCTTCATGGGTCTGAATTAGTGTCTATGAATTTTTTTGGAATTATAGGGCAATCAGGAAAAACATATTTTTCCACCTATACGAGCCTACTGCATTGCTTGAACCGATGATTTTCAAAATCTAAAGGAAGAGTAATCCATCAAATCTGACAACAAATTCCTTCTTCATGGGTCTGAATTAGTGTCTATGAATTTTTTGGGATTTTTAGGGCAATCAGGAAAAAAATATTTTTCCACCTATACGAGCCTACTGCATTGCTTGAACCGCTGATTTTGAAAATTTAAAGGAACAGTTATCCATCAAATCTGACAACAAATTCTTTTTTAATGGGTCTGAATTAGTGTCTATGAATTTTTTGGGATTTTTAGGGCAATCAAGAAAAAAATATTTTTCCACCTATACGAGCCTACTGCATTGCTTGAACCGCTGATTTTGAAAATCTAAAGGAAGAGTTATCCATCAAATCTGACATCAAATTCTTTCTTCATGGGTCTGAATTAGTATCTATGAATTTTTTGGGAGTTTTAGGGCAATCAGGAAAAAAATATTTTTCAACCTATACGAGCCCACTGCATCGCTTGAACCGCTGATTTTGAAAATCTCAAGGAAGAGTTATCCATCAAATCTGACAACAAATTCTTTCTTTATGGGTCTGAATTAGTGTCTATGAATTTTTTGGGATTTTTAGGGCAATCAAGAAAAAAATATTTTTCCACCTATACGAGCCTACTGCATTGCTTGAACCGCTGATTTTGAAAATCGAAAGGATGCGTTATTCATCAAATCTGACATAAAATTCTTCCTTTATGGGTCTGAATTAGTGTCTATGAATTTTTTGGGAGTTTTAGGGCAATCAAGAAAAAGATATTTTTCCACTTATACGAGCCTACTGCATCGCTTGAACCGCTGATTTTGAAAATCTAAAGGAAGAGTTATCCATCAAATCTGACAACAAATTCTTTCTTTATGGGTCTGAATTAGTGTCTATGAATTTTTTGGGATTTTTAGGGCAATCAAGAATAAAATATTTTTCCACCTATACGAGCCTACTGCATTGCTTGAACCGCTGATTTTGAAAATCTAAAGGAAGAGTTATCCATCAAATCTGACAACAAATTCTTTCTTCATGGGTGTGAATTAGTGTCTATGAATTTTTTGGGATTTTTAGGGCAATCAAGAAAAAAATATTTTTCCACTTATACGAGCCTACTGCATCGCTTGAACCGCTGATTTTGAAAATCTAAAGGAAGAGTTATCCATCAAATCTGACAACAAATTCTTTCTTCATGGGTGTGAATTAGTGTCTATGAATTTTTTGGGATTTTTAGGGCAATCAAGAAAAAAATATTTTTC